ACAGTTCCGTGCTCTCCTTTTGTAGTTCAATGTATTATTGTGATTTTCTTTTCTTTTTTTTCTTTTCCTCTCTCTCTCTCTCTCTCTCTCTCTCTCTCTCTCTCTCTCTCTCTCTTATTCTTTCTTTCATTTTTGACTTTCCACTTATAAGGGAGGACATGTGGTATTTGTGTTTCTGTGCCTGGCTTATTCCATTTAACATAATTTTCTGCAAGCTTATCAATGTTGCTGCAAATGACAGATTTTTTTTTAATGGCCGGGTAGAATTGCCTTGTGTTTATGTACCTCATTTTCTTTATCTGGTGGTCCGTTCATGGTACTGGTATAAAAATAGACATTCAGAGCAGTGCAGTAGAATTTAGAACCCAAAAATCAGCCCTCAGGCTTACAGCCATCTGATACTGGACAAAGGCAACAAAAATCTACATTAGGGAAAAGACTGCCTCTTCAATAAGTGGCGCTGGGAAAATTGGATATCCATATGCAGAAGAATGAAACGAGAAATGCACATCTTAACATATACAAAAACCAACTCAACATGAATTAAAAACTTAAGTAAAAGACCTGAAACTGTAAAATGACTGAGGAAAAATATAGGTGAACCACTTCAGGAACTAGGGTTAGGCACAGACTTTATGAACAATACCACATACAATTGACATGTGCCATTAGGGATCCAACATAAAGTAGTGTCATAGCGATCAGGAATTTAAAAGGAGACCAGTGGGCATAGTTGTGTCAGAGCAGCTGGAGAGTTGGATTTTCCAGGATCAGGGGCTAGACAAGGACATTGGCAGAGGGAGACGGGCCAGGATATATATGAGAATGGAGTTTAAGCTGGGACTGAGGAAAGAGAGGCCATTGGTGTGGGGTTATTGGACAGTGAAATGTGCTCCCATCAATGGTTGTTAAGTCCAGATAGACGACTGAGCTGTCGTACTGAAGTGAGGTATGGGAGGTAGGGAGGTAGTGGCTGGATGACAGGGAAATTGGAGAAACTGTATAGCACACTGATGAAGAGACTGGGTTCTGGAGGCATACATATCCACATATAGTACACACCAAAATACAAATGTACGCGTGCACGCCGACACACACATTCACGCACTCTAATGCATCCTCATACTCACACTGAGAACACACATGTCCATTAACAGGATGCGTCCACGTGCTATCTCACACACTCACATATTTACACACTCATCGAAACGTTCACTGACACACATACTGACACACAAACTCACAAACACATACTCATATTACTCTCACGTTCACACTCCCACACACGGTCACTAACACACATGATCACACATATTCACACATCATCTCATACACATACATCAAGAGACAGAAAATAACACATGCTGGCAATCTCCTACATTGTTGGTGGGAATGTAAGTTGGTACAGCCAGTATGGAAAACGATACAGAGATTCCCCAAAGAAATTAAAAGGGAATTACCTTATAATTCAGCAATCCCACTTCTGGGTATATATCCAAAGGGATTTATTTTTATCTGGCAGTTAATGATTCTGCATCTCTGAGGATGTGCTGGCTGTCCCTTGGACCCCTATCTTCACCTGAAGGTTCATGCTGGTAATGAATGAGTCTGGTGGGATTCCCCTCTACCATCAGCCAATGTGTGAGAGGTTGACTTAGGGGAATCCCCAATCTATGTGGGTCCGAGTGCTCCCCACTATAGAATTGCCGATCACACCTGCCAGACAGAACTCAAAGGAAAGACTTTTTGTTTTGGAAGATGTTGACCGGGAGACAGAGGGTGAACTCCCAACAGCCTCCCCAGTCAACTGAGAACTGGGGTTTATATATGTCAATGTATCTGGGAGACAGGATGTAGAGTCTTCAGACATGATGGACACGTGCTTCCTGACATTACCTATGGCGCCGAAGTCTCGTCTGGTTTCCATTCTGTGACACTGTCTTTGAGAGATGGATCAGGCAGGACAGGGTGTAGGTTGTTCAAGCCTGATGGACAGCTGCTTTCAATACAATCCTAGTTAATCATTTAGGACTAGTTAGTTTTAAAGGGAAAACATAGTTAGTTCTATACTGTTTACATGAGTGTGAGGGGTTTTCTAGGTTTACAATGTCAGCTTCTCAAACCCTTTGTGTCCTTTCCTGCCTGAGAAAATAGGGATCCACGGTGGTGAGTCACATCACTTCATCTAATTCAGTGACCAGACTCTTGTCACTTGTAACACAGTAGTAAGGAGTTTCATTCTTTGTAGCAAAGAAACTTTTTAGCAAAGAAACTTTTTCTTGTGCTTTCCATGAAACCTCTTCTGTTTTTCTTAGGCTCCACTAAACCGGCCACTACATGGTAATTCCATCAATACCTGGAAATTGTGCGAGGGGGTTACCTCAGCTCTTCAACTTAGGAGACTGAGGTGGGTTCCCTTGGCTCTCTGAACACAGAGATTGGATGGGAGGGTTCCCTTGCCTCTCTAAACCTGAAGATTAAGAGAGGTGGTGGGTTTTTTTTCACCTCTTGGAACCCAGAAACTGTGGGGGGGGCGGTGTCAAGGTCCTTAGGCTCCTGAATTCGAGGATTGTGTAAAGTGTTCCCTTGGCTCTTAGACAGAGAGATTTGGGGGAATTAAACAATGGGACTATTTCCTGGTCCTTTAAATATTTTTTTCTCTTTCATTTAAGTATCTTAATTCCTTGCACAACTCTCATTCTGCCAGGTGCCTTCTTTCCTTTTTTACCCACTGTTTACAATCTTAGAAATTAAAGCATTGACTCAGTTTAATATTTCCAAAAATGGCATCATTTCACAGAGGATCTTTTGGAACTTAATGGCCTCTTGAGGAAACTTGGAATCATCCCAAACTGGCTCATCTAGTATGTCTCCCTCTCCATCACCCTCACCCACCCCTCTTTCCTCCTTTTCACCACCTTGGACCTCCCCTTCAGCTCCCTTGAATCCTTTCCCTGTCCCCCTTAAACACCTCTACCTCCTCCACCCCTTTATCCACCCGCCAAGAGACCTTTCCCTTCTACTCCAGCCCCTCAACTGACTATAGTCATTGGAGCTTCAGGACTCCACCCCCACGGAGGGTTTTTAATAGAGGGCCTCAGGGACCACAAAAGAAGCCACCTGAGTCTAAAAAAGCCCACTGGAACCACTTTGGATATTGTAACTACTCAGATGGGCTTTGGAGACACCCAGATGTCCACTTAATGTCTCTTTGGTCCCTGACCCAAAATTCAGCCCATGGCCTCCTTAACATTACACATCACGACAAAAGAAAAATCTGAGAAGTCTCCTCTACAAATATCAATGGAAAGCTTCAGCCTTCTTACTGAGCAGGTAAGATGACTTATCCCATCTGCCAGAAACACAATTCTGATAAAAATACAAAGTGAGGTAACAATGAGAGGCAATGTTTTTATATAAAACAGTGAGGTTTGTTTTTCTGTGTTTATGACTGATTAATGGCTGAAAATTTAGAATGAAAGACATAAGATCACTGTTTGTGTCTGTTTATCTGTGTATGTACATATGTACGTTATGTATGTGTAATAGTTCCCTATGTCCAGATGGTATTACCACATTAATTTACAAAATCCCTTATTCTCTATTCTAATTGACTTAGAGATAGACAGACAGTTGTATAAATTAAATATTACTAAAAGTCCCATAAATTTAAAAACTAACCCAAATGTTTTAAAAATTCAACTTCACGTACCTTATGTAAATGTTTGGAAAAAAACAGTTTAATATTGTTGGTTTAATAAATGCAGTCATGTCTCTGAGTTATCAGCATTAAGCATAATACAAGTATACATATTTATTTTACCTGGCTATGTTCCTCCTAAACTTAGAATGGACTTACTAGTAAAATGAGCTAATGTTATACTTACTAAATATTTAAGATTACAAAAAATATTTTAATTTGAGTTTAATCACATCGAGTCATTATTCTGACAACCTTTATTTCAAAAATACTTATATTTTTCAACCCACAAAGCAGGGAAGGAAAAATAATTTGTTTTATAAGATGTCTGCTTAAAACTAATTTCCTATTTTATGGGGTTAACTTAAAACCTTGGACTATGCTAAATTAAGTAGGAGATATTCATTAAATAGCTAGATCATATATAAGTAAAACACTGAAACAATAAAGCATAAATGTAAGTTTTTATACTTTTTCTCATTATTTTTATATGGTACAGAAAAGCTAAAAAATTAGGGTTCATTAATAAATATGATCTTTCTTGACACACTGAGAAATTTTATTGTAAGGAAGTATATACCTATAAACAATTGTGGGATATATATTCCCAATCCTTGCCAGTCTGCCACAAAATGCTGGCTCATGATGGATGGTTTACAATGATCCATTTTCTTTTTTCTCTGTAAAATAATAGTGACTGATATTTTAAAATTATAATCAGTACATTTAAGTGAAATAAATACAGGTAGAGTATCCTTTATGCGAAATGCTTGGGAGCAAAAGTGTTGCAGATTTTGGATTTTTTCAGATTTTGGAATATTTGCATAATACATACTGGTTGAGCATCCCTCATCTGGAAATCTGAAATCTGAAGTGCTCCAATGAGTATTTCCTTTAAACAGCAGGTTGGTGCTCAAAATTTTCAGATTTTGGAGCATTTTGGATTTCGGATTTCAGAATTGGGTGATGCTTAACCTGTAGACGCAATAATGGCAAAGGGAAACAACTTTGTATGCAATGTATGCAAAATATGATGTTGTTAAGGAAAAAGAAAGTAATTTTATCCTCAGGTAAAATGAGTGGTTGTTCAAACATGAGATGAATGGACACAGCAAGTTGCCAAAGGTTACTTAGAAAGGAATTTTATTAGTCCTGGTCAAGGCTGGGTAAAATGTGATGGATTTGTTTATAAGATTCCTTTAAAAAAACAGCTTGAGTAGTAAAATTTGGTTTTCTCTCTGTTAAAAATGACAAAATCGTCATGGATTACTGGTCTGCTCTTAATAATAGGTGGTAAAAGATGTTCATTTACCTTCTGAGTAGCAAGGACGGGGAGGAGACCAAGAGACTCAGGGACCCGAACTGCGCCAAGCGCACCCATCCCACCCGCTCCCCTGTCCTGGACGGTGTCTGCCGGCTCGGCTCGAGCAGGTTCTGTCCCTCCCTTCCGTCCAGCCTAAACGCCCCAGCAGGTGACGTCGCCGCACGCCGTGCCCGGCCCACTCTCACGCCCACACCGGTCTGCGCCTCTTTGGCTCCTGGAGACCCCGCCCCTCACCGCCCTGCAGCCTCTGCCGCCCTTGGGGACGTTGGGCTCTCTAGCCCCGCCCCCCAGCGCGCAGCACAGCCCCGCGCACTCCCACTACTGTGACGGACGCGTGACGCCAACATGACGCCCTGCGCCCCGTGTCTGGCCAGGCTCCACTAACAATCTCTTGGAAGAGGAAATCTTCAAGTACATGACCCAGAGGCGGAGGAGGCTTTCGCCCTCTAACTCCTCTGACTCCTCCTATGGGTTCTCCAGTGAGACCCGGTCCCAGAGGCCCGCCTGGCTGCCCATGGGATGGGAACGGGGCATGGGCGACGGGGAGGATGGGTCGGGAGTGTGTGGCAAGGGCGTTGGCCGATTGGGGAGCTGGGGAGAAGGGAGGAAAGCCTGAGGGGCACATGGAATGTTCCCCCTCCCCCATTCAGTCTTGGATTCAGCACTCGAGGGCTCATCGGATATGTACAATCTGCCCAAGAAAGAGGACACCTTACTTTATCACAGCAAGGGTAAGGCAGGAATGGGGTGGGCACCCTGATACATGCAGCCCACTCTGTCAGGGAACCCAGTCTCAGGGAGAGCCTGAGGCCCCCACCCCCACCACCTCTCAGCAGCCCTAGGAGGGAGAAACTTTGTCATAGGCCCGTAATGGGATTCAGATTAGGTCCATTGGGCCAGGCAGGGGACACCGATGCTTCCCCTGCTAACCATGCCCCTCTTCCTAAGGCTGTAATGAGGAGTACTATGAGGAGAGTTACCTGACCGCCAGGACTTCAGGGGAGGCTGATTCTGTGGGTACGACCAAGGGCTTCCACCAACCGGTGTCTTCGCTCTCAGTTGCTAACACCTTCCAACACCAGGTGAGCTGGCTGTCAGGCACCGTATACTTTGATCCTACCTGAGTGGACCGTAGCTGGGTTTGGGCAAATACAGTGGAGCAGGGGGGACACTGGGTGCACACTTCATTCTTCAGGGATAGTTAGGGTCAGCAGACACCTGTCTGGTCAGGGCCCTTCTTTGGGGAGCTGTGAGAACTATTTGACTAGAGTGCATGG